TGGGGGTCCCGGGCCTGGGGGTGGCGTGGGAAACGCGTCCCCCCCGGCAGCACAGGTGAGGGGCACCGCCCACCCCCGCCTGCCCCGGTGAGGGCAGGTGGTTCCCCCAGGGCAGCGGGAGCCCCGGCCCTGACAAAAAGCGGTTTTCTCTGTGGTGATATTTGCAGGCTTTCTGCAGAAAAAAAAAAAAAAAAAAGAAGTTAGGCTGGCGCTCGGTGATCACCTCCCCTCTCCCCACGCCGTGGCGGAAACACAGGAGGGACCGAATTCCACAGGCAAGTGTTGGTTGTGTTATAAATGACTCAGTCCCAGGCGGGATTTTTAGCCAAATTAATAATTTATTGAGCGAGTAGGTTTCTCCTTGTTCCATCACACATTGCAACAGGCAATGCGAAGGCACCAATCGTACCCCCCTCCCCATACCAAGGTCAGGACCGTACAAGAACTAGACAAGAAAGGACCCACAACAATAATTAGAAAAAGAGAACTTATATACATATAGACCTTATATACATACATTGACACAAATCAGGTGGGCATCTGTCACAGCTGGGTGGTCAGGAGCACGGGGTTCAGGCTGTGTGCTTTGCCCTACAGTGTGGGGGTTGGTTTTTTTTCTAGGTGGCAAATGAAAATTATTCACTCATTACTAATAGAGGCTTTCTTGTAACATTGACACGTAGTAGGGATAAAAAAAGGTGAAACAATGAGGTGCAGCTGGCCTTTCACTGTGAGCCCTGATATTAATGTTTAGTGTGACTGTATTAGAATGTGAAGCAGTTTTGTGCCTCCTGGCCCCACACAGCCAGTGCACCCCTGGGCCTCCTTCTTGTGGGACTGGTTTGTTGAGTTACCCCCACCAGTGGTGGGCTGAAATTTCAGAGTAAATGGGCTGGTGCCTCTTGTCTTTTGGGAACTGCTTGGGAGAATGGAAATGGCTGGAGAGAAAATGCTCCCTTCTGAAAGAGAAATACAGAAATAGAGTCTCTCTTGTGATCACTAGAAGGGACACTGAATGGGGGAGGACATTTTTCCTGTAGTAGTACTGAAAATGGATTCTGCATTGATGAGCTTGATTTCATTTAGGTGGTGCTGAGTTTCACCACAGGTGCAGGCTGTTAGTGCAGGGCTAATAAAGCTCACTCTGCTTGCTTTAGAGTTCCAGCAAGGCGAAGTCTGACAATATTTGCTATGATGAACTGAGTGGAAATAGCCAAACTGCTTCCAGATCTAAGCTGTCTATGAAAAGAACACAGTCTTTGGTGTGATACTGTGTAAATAATCAAATAAACCTTTTGATCTTGGTTAATTCTGCATGGAGGAGAGCCCTAGGTGTCCACCTCTGCATATGATTAATCATAAACTGATTAACCCCCCCCCACTGATAGGTCAGATTTGGCTGTAGTTTGTTTTTCAGGGCATCTGCAGGTTTTATGCATCTAGCTTCCTCTTCTGGCTTTGAAGTTTTCACTAATACAGTCAAACCCAAAAAAGGCTGGGGTTGGTGGCTGATTTCTTTTAACGTGATTTACCACGGTGAAAGGCTCTACAGTAGTTTTCTGGAAAAAGGTGAATTTTTAATTCTAGGGACTCAAATAGCTACTTTGGATATATTTTGGGCCTTCATTGGAATAACTTTGCCTGGATTTATGTCTAAGTTTAGTTCAGTTTAGCTTCTTAGGACTAAGCAACTGGCACATGTGAAAGATATTTGCGTACTACACTCCTGTTTGACAATGTTACACTAATTGCGTTATATCACCTTATTCTGTTCCTCTCTGCCCACCTCTGGCACTGAGAGGAAGTTGTTTGGGTTCATTGCCATTCCATGTATCCAGTAAGAAGCACTTCCAACACCATTCCATGGATGGTGTGAATCTTTCTTTAAATAGTATTGTCCCTTTGTAGGAACATTGTCTTGAAACTGATGACTTTATATAGTTCTAAACTAACAGTAGCAGCTAGCAAATCCCTCTGATGGAGACAGGTGGGAGTTACCATTAGAAAGCCTTGCCAGACCTGGGCATCCAATGGGAATTTTTTTCTGGAGTGAACTCTAACTGCCCTGGATGTCATGCCTGCCCTGCTGCCCTTAGTAGTTCGAGCTGTTGAATCAAAGTTCCCCCTATATTTCCTATCACAATAAACTTACTGTCTATCACTTGGTCACTTATGGCACCTTTCTGGTAGGATTTTTGTATTTTTCTCCAGTCCTCTCACAGTTTAACTGGTTACAGGTAACATCCACAGTGTATTAATAAAAGTGCATTCTTTTGGAATTAAAAAGGATTGTTTATAATAAAGACAGGTGGTTAAAAATTGCAGATCTCTTGGCCATAGTTTCATGGGTTTAGGCAGACTTGGTAGTAGCTATATAAATGTGAGAGAATTCAGTATTTTTCATATCTTTGGGCTTGAATATTAAGCTGCATTCTGCCTTCTCTATGAATTTCCATTCTACAGAATATCTAAAAGTCTTACTTGAGTAGAAGAGAGAGCTTAACAGTTGCATTCTTAACATGAACAGGTAACACAAAGACATTAAAACATTACCCTAAAAATAACAACATGCATTTTTATACCAGGTTGAAGGATTTTTGGCAGCACTATTGCCTTGCTCATTACATGAACTTCGTTGACCATCTTACCACCAAGTATAAACTTTGTATGTCTCTCAAGTACTGGTTGGTTGACTTCAAATCCAGAGGCTTGTTTGTTTATTTGTTTGTGGGATTTTTTTGAGAGAGAATTACTGTAATTGTCCAAATTGTTTTATAAACCTTTTCAGGAATATCAGTGCTTAATGCATTGTTGCTTAAATTACTGTGTTGGAAGGAAGAGCAACCTGGAAGATGAGTTACCCTGAGAACCTGCATTTAAATTCATCAGGAAGGTGTCAACTGTTGTTGTGTTCTGTAGACTAATTCTAACATATTTTATGATGAAGGCACATTACGGGTGAGATAAAAGTGTTTCTTGCTCTGTGCCTATTAGTTTTTTTGTCGTCTTAAAATTAATGTCATGTTTGATGACATTACAATGGGAGCATATTGCTACCACGGGGCTGTTTGGGTTTGTCTGACACATTTACAGTCAAAGGGAGTGCTCTGCTTGAGTGCCTTTGGCTTAAGGTTGTGTTTGTGAAAGACAGAAATGTGTGGATTGGAGTTCTTTTCTGTTCTACTTGAAAGCAAAGAGAAGCACTAATTGTCCTGTCTCTGAAGAAATTATCTCTATAAATACACATTTTTTTAGCTTTATTATTTTAGATACGATAGAAGGACTGTAATATAACAGTGTGCCTGTCAAATCTTGATACTGGTTTTTTAAGTTTTGGGTTTGTTTGGGTTTTTTTGCTGTTTTAAGAAGAGCAAAATTTACATGGTTTTCATTTCTGACCTGTGGGGAATAGGTATTGGGGAGCAGTGACTTGGTGAAATGAGAGAAATCAAATTAACATGCTCTGAGTGTTTCTATTTGTTGGGTTTTGTTTTGTTGGGTTTTTTTTCTCATGTCAGTAAAAGTTGGCAGGAAGCTCTAAGAAAGTAACCTACTTTGGATCCCTCATTTAACTTAAGTTTTAGGGTTGCAAGATTTAGGAATTGTATCTTCCTCAAAACCTGCTCATGCTGTTGAAATTATTGTATTTCTGCTGTTTTTTGCTCTTCACTAGAAACATTACGCTTTGGAGAACTGGGTGACTTTTTTTTTGCACAGATTTTTCAAATAAGTCAGGTTCTTTTCTGGTATTTTCATGTCTGTAAGTCGTGAAACTGTTTTAAACATACAGAATTTTGTGGAATCACTTTTCCTTATATCTGCAGAGGTTCTAATTCTTATTGATTCCCTTAACAAAGAAGCTACTTTCACTGACTGAATTAAGACAACGTAATCTTTGGAAGTTAATAAATCCATAAAATGTTTTCTAAAAACGTATGTGATTATAGCATTTAGTGTGTTCATGGTGTGGCTCTTGACTGTACACAGAGATCTCTGTTATATCTGTGTTACTTTAGTTGCTGGGAAGAGAATTACATTCTAGTTGTGAAGAATGTTAATTTGTGTGCCCCTGCATTGTGTGAAAGATAATTGGTATCAAAATATAGCTGAGTTGGCAGTCTGTAGCTGTGGGAGACAAACTGGGTTTCTGTGTTGATACTCTGCTATGCATCATACTGTGCTATTTAGAAAAGACATCCCTTCTTATATCTTGAAACTGTGATGGGAATAAGTTACCTACTCAGTTAAAAATACAGGTCTGTCAGAAGGAACATCTCCTGCCTTGGTGCCAAGTAAAACCACCTCGTTAGGATCTGGGGTCAGGTTTCCCTGGGCCGCTCTGCGGCTGGTGCCAGCTATTCACTGGAAGGCATTCTTTGCAAACACACATCCTTGCTTACAATACTGGGTAAAGATGACTAAGCAAACAAAAATGCAGTGTTTTGGTATCTGTGTTAGAAGAAAAAAAAGCCCAAGTCTAGCAGGGAGTCAGCTATGTAAATGAGTGTCTGAAAAGGAAAAAGATGAATAGAAATTAATAGAAAACAGGACTGAGTTCATCCCCCTGACAAGATCAGCTCTCTCTCATGTGACTCTTTTTGTGAATTTTAATGAAGCTTTTTTATTTTAATTGATTTTGATTCTCTGCTTTTTCTATAGATCGGTTTTGTGGCAAATGCCAGTTTTTAATGTAATTTACTTTCTAATTTGAAAAGTCAGCCCCCATATGAACCTGTTTTCATCTAACCTTGTTTGGTTTGGCAGTGCTAGAAGTTGGTGTACTAGAACTGCCAGCTGAAAGAGTTAACGGGTGTGGTACAGATTAATCCACTTTGTTGGAGTTTATTCCCACAAACGATTTAAAAAAATCCATTACTTATTTAAATAGGGTTCTCACATGGTAGTACTGTGGCTTCAACTTACACAAAATACTGTCTACGCTTATTTAAAAACAGATGTGCGTTAATTCTCAGATATGTCTAAAATTCAATATTCTAGAGATATTCACGAGCGGGAAGCTTGTCTACAGTGGTTTCTTCTCAGCTGTAGAAAGAATCTGACACATCTTGACTGCAGTTTGTGAATTTTACTCTTACGTAGTTCCCCCAAAATGTTGGTGTTAGCACAGGAATGAAGTATCACACATCACTGCATGTTTCAAACTCTTCATTTAGAAATTAGCGAAGTGCCATATTCATGCATTTCTGTGGAAGCTTATTTTTTTTAAAGAAGTCTGCTTGAAGGTTCCCCAAGTGGCAGGGAGCAAAGGTATTTATTTAACCTGGAGTCCATGACCTTTCTACAGGGGTGAGTATGTTAAAAGGCATCTGTGTCTGTGGAAGTAATCAAAGGAGTGTTGAACATTTCACCTCTGTTAATTGGAATTGCCAGGTTCTGGTCCACGTCACTTGAAGGGACATCTTAGTTGTGTTGAGCTGCTTCAGACCTGGGCTATTAAGCAGCTTTTTTCACACAGCCTTGCCTCGTCTTCAATAAACATTGTGCTAATAATTGGGGTTTTTTTTAGTTTTATTCCAAGTGGTTTACCAAATCCAAGTTTTGATCATCTGACAGACCTTTTTGACATACCAGAATCTTGGACTTTACAGTGGTGAGAGACCTGGGGCAATACAGGTGTAACAGAAAATGTTCAATTTTACATTTAGAGACATGCTTATGCTGCTTTGAGTGGACCTCTTGTTCTCTTGTTATGCTTTGACAAGAAGCTGAATTGAATTTTATTTCTAACATTTTTACCTGTGTTTCTGCATACTTTTATACTTTTTATTGCAGGTAGTTTTTTTCTCATGCTTGTCATCTCCTCTAAACACTTAATGTTCTTTGAACATCTTTGTTTTCCAATATTTGGCTCTTTCCTTTTCCCCTTATGCTATAAAGAAGGAAACTAGTCTAGTAGATCAGGAGATCCAAACATAAGGCTTCATTAGCAAAAGGTAGAGACCTCTGGCATGTCCTGCCTTCTCAAAGAAATCTGCCAGGCTTTACTTGTTCCCTGCAAGCATCAGATTTTCCAGTCTCTACAGCCATTAGAAAACTTAGATCAAGAAAAATACATTGCCTTCCTTTTCGGTAGATAATTGTACCTCCAATCAGTCTTTTATCTGGTGGATGCAAAAGTACCACTCATTTCCCGTGCAATTCTTACTTGCAAAGCCTTTGTATAATTGTCAGGGTTCCCTTGCAAGCAGCAGGCAAACCCTCAACTTTGAAGACAGCCCTTGCAGATAGACTTTACGTGCAGGTGGTGTGCTGAATTCACTCAGGGTTGCCATGGCAACCTTTTCCTTCTTTATCCAGAAGACAACTGCTTTATCAGTAAATGCAGCCTTTCACAGTACCTGCGACTTTTGTTCCAGGGTCTCACAGCCATTAGCAGCAATAGGTGGGCCCTGAAATTAGAGGTGCCAGATAGGGCTCCTCTGCATCTTTGCTCACTCTGTGTGTTCTTTGTCCTTCACCTGGAAGTACACCAGTCTTTACTCTCTTCCCCTTCCTTATGTGTTTTTTTGGCAAAAGACTGTCTCTTCCATACTACATGGGGGCATGTAACTTCATATTCTGGGTTTTGAGCACTATTATTTTCTATCTAGGAGATACAGTTCTCAGTCCTGCTGTTTGCCTGTCCACCTACCTTGATCTCAGAGTTCTTGGTCATCTTTTCCAAGAGTTTACTTTGTTATGCATAACTGCTCTGCTGCCTCTAGAAGCCATCAGATTGGTTCTGTTTCTTGCCACTGGCAATTTTTTGAGTGATAAAAAAGAAAACAGGGGGATGGAAACCCAATCCAAGATGAAAAGTATGATAGTGACTGTGATAAACTCATCTCCTTCCAGAAGTAAAGGAGTTATTTCTCTGCCGGTAGATCTCATAATCAAGTGATTTGACTCTCTCTCAAAAAATTATCCTTGATATCCAGTAGGTCAGGATTACTGTGACTATGTATCTCATTGAACCATGGGGATGGTGCATCAGCAGGACCTTATGGACAAGGCGTTAACAGTGGTGGATGGCAGCTTAGTGAATTAATGTATATATTTTTATATATTTCCACATGAGCAAGTGCATAGGCATATGTCTTTTTCTACATCAAATAAAACATCTTGCCCACAGTTGGCTCTTGGGATTCAAAGGATTGAAAATAATAACACGTTTCTATTTTCAATGAATAAACCTAATTTGCAGTTATCCCAGTCCACAACATCCATCTGTTGAACAGTACTTGGGCACTGCCTCCACAAGAGAAAAATTACAGGTGAAATTATGTTTAGACTATCATTAAAATAATTATGTAACTATCATTAATTTACATTATTATTTCATAAAACAGTTGGTGTAGAGAATCCAACAAATGATCAAGACCTCATCTTGTAATACCTCAGAAAAGGATAATATCAGGAAATATATTTTGTTCTTCTGATTCTTAGAGAATAGCATAGAAAATGGTATCAGTATTGGGTACAATATCTCAGTGTTGACATTATAGATGTAATATCCCATAGACATAACTCACTTCTAATGATTTTCATTGTACAGACCATGAGCTGACACTGGTGTGTTGCAGGATCCTGAGGAGATTCAGGGCTAGTTGTGGCACACAACAGGCCAGTTGTGGCACATCCTTCATTGCTTTTGGCCTCTGGGTCCATAGCCCAAACACCCACTCCTGCTCCAGCAGTAGCCCTTGTGACTTGCCAGCCTGTGTGGTCTTTCACCAAACTTTGACGAGATGTTACAGATCTCTGATGGTACCTACAGAAGCTCCTGTGTTAGGGTTAGGAAAGGTGTGCACGTTTTCTTCTCCATGATGATGCAAAACTCTGGTATAGGAAGAACAAGAGAGTTTAAATGTTTGCCCAGTCACTTGGCATCCCACCGTGGATGTGGAAAATCAGGCAATAACTTGTGTTCAAAAAGAAGACTTCAGTAGAATGGATTTGGTTTATTTAATAGTAAAGGAAAGGTCATGTCTTTTGTTCTTTTATTCTCACATAAATTGATTTTGTAAAGTTGAAGTTGGTTTATCACTGATTGTGTTCTTTGGCTTTGTTATTTCAGTACTGGAGAAAAGGTCGTCTTAGTGCATACCTGACATTCCATGCTTCATTTCTGCTGAAGATTAAGTTCTGTTTTTTCCTGCTTTTTTTTCCTGTCTCCTTTTTTTCCCCCCTAATTTCATCTGTCCCAAGTCAACCCAGCTCTAGCTGGTTTGTCCTGCAGTCTAGTGTATCAGAGGTGCCTACATATTATAACTTTGCTTCACTTGGGTTATAGAAACTTGCATGTCTTGGCTGTGCTACCCTGATACACTGGGTAGATGCATGTAGATTTTTTTCATGTTTTGTTCACTGTGCAAGAGCTCAGAGAGATTTCCACTCTAATATCTTTCCTTGGGGGAGCAAATTGCATTATCTGTCTGAAAATGAAGTGTCAGTAGAAGACAGTGACCAAGTATTGGAATTTTTGTTGGTTCATTGACTCCTAACTTCTCAACATGAAGCTGCTCCAGGAACTGAAAGCCTTTCTAACAAATTTAAGTCTATTTCATTTTATTTTTTAATTAAAAAGCCCTGATTTTGAGTAGAGAACTAAGCAAGAAAATAAGTGGGCATCTCAGGAATGAAAGCATCTGGGAGGAAGGAACCAGCTTAGGGCTTGCAAGATTGGTCATAGCTAAACAAAACCAAACCAAAGAAGTTGGCAGCCCCAACCCAAAACCTTGTAACTCTTCTGTCTCCTCCAACCTTCCTGTTTTCTCTGTATACTCCAAAAACACTACCTGGAATCAAAGTGACAAAATGCAAAACCCCCCTGTGTTACTGTTATTAGTATAGTGATATTCTGTAGGATGACACCTTGGTTCTTATTGAGGAGCTTTTTGATGTAGCATTTATGTACTGTGAGAGGATTTTTTGACATTGTTTTAGAGTCCTTCTTGCTATTAATATAGGGAGTAATATTAGTATCTGTAAAGGTAATGGAAACAGGTAAAGACATGATGCCTGCTTTGGGCTATTTACAAACTGAATAAACATGACATTTTTTTTCACCAGAAGGGTGGCTTTTTCTGCTCTAAATGCAAAGTGATTACAATTCAGAGTTCTTTTGCATTTTAAATGTAGTTCAAAGTACACAAGTTGGTGAAAAAACAGAACAGCCTAGAGGAGAAGTACTTGCATATTGGAATTGAAGCTGCCTGTTTCTGCAGTCTCCTCCCCTCTTTGCTTTTCCTTTTCCCCTTTGTCTCCCCTCTTGCTCCCCCCCTCAGCTTAGGTACATTTCCACCTGATTTCTTCACACATCTGCAGAGAGGTAAGAATATCTCTCTGTAATCTATCTTGCAGACCAAGACAGAAAATTAAGTCTGTGATAAAGTAATACCAACTAAAATGCCTAGTGGAAGTTAAAATAAAGACTTCCAAATATCTTCTCTTCAGTTACCTATAACACGTTTTTCTAGCATTGTTAATATATAGCAAGCACACTTTACTGAGAGTGAATTTAGTTCTTGAAAGTTAATTCTTTATTCAAGGTAGGTGTTTTCCTCATATACTCTTGAGAATGCTGCAGTCAATCATACGCTGATAATTTTTTTTCCCCTTTTTACTCTGGTTTGCAAATTTTCCAAGTCTCATGCCAGAAAAACTAGAAGACATCCCTGTGTCTGCTCTGAATGAAAATAAGTAATTTAATACCTAGCTAGGTGTTTCAAGGGCTTAGCCTGAGCAACTTACTGTTCTTAGAAATACTGACTTGAATGTTTGTTTCTTTTCAATGTTGATTCCCACTCTGACACCTTTTTTCATTCATGCAGTGTGGTGCTTCTAGACACTTCTATAAGTATCCTCTCAGAGGATGAATTTGATGACATGACTCCTGTACAAAGGAAACACCATTTTCTGTGCAGCCAGCTCATCACTGACCATTTGTCTGACTCCAGTTTTACTCCAGCAGTCTTTGGGATGATTAAAGAAGAACTAAAAAAAGACTTACTGCAATATGCTCATCAGTTCAGAGCTGTTAGCCAAATGAGTGTCAGTGGGGAAAGGCTTAATTTAGGGTAGTGGTAGGGGAAAAATCCTCTTTGTTCTTTGTTCTCTCTGTGTTGTCAGAGTAGCATAAAGCAGTGACTTGAGGAGCTGCCTGTCTTTTTATCAGAAATTACCATGCAGTTCTTTGCATAGTCTGGTTGGCTGTAGTGAATGCAGCACAATAATTATATGCGAGCACAATATTTAAACTGCCAGATATTTTTCATTTTTTACTAAGCACTAGTACTAATGACCAGGTGCCAAAGACTGACGTGAATTCACATATTAAAAGTTATCCTGTGTATTTTTTTCTTATAGTTGTCTGTGTTTCTTCTGTTAGCAACACCTGTGTGTGTGCACTTGGAGAGTAAAATTCCTTGTTAGAGCATTATCAGACCTTCTGAATAAGTGTCAGCTGGGGTCAATCCCCTCCCAGAGCTCCAGCCCAGCTGTCCCTCACTTCTTTCTAATTGCCATTGGTCTCAGCTCACTTGCATTTCATGCTCTTTCAGTTCATCTCAGCCTCTCTGGAAGCAAACTCCATTTTTATTACCTTTTATTTTTATTTCCTTTCTTTTTGAAAATTTTGGTAGAGGAGATACTTCAAGCCTGTTGCTGCAAAGGTGGGGTAAGTAGACAAAACCAATTTTGCATTAGATCAGTGCCAATGAGCAGGTTTTTTTGTCTGATTTGGAAAGGACAGCTTAGTGAGGTCAGAGCTTCTCTGTAGCCAGAAGAGCAAGAGATACCTAAAATAGTTTTAAACAGATCTACGGGAACCACATTGCCGAGTCTCTCTCAAAAAGACAGTAGCTAGTTCTGTGTGAATATAATCTGAGATTTTATTTGATATTGATCTGATGGCATTAATATTCTGGTAGCACCATTTGTTGATCTTTTTCAAAGGAGAAAATGTTAATCAAAATAATGCATGGCTGTAGACTCCTGATCTGCAGGAGTAGCTGCAGGTTACTCCTGTTGGGCCTTGTTCTTCTTGTGAAGGTCGAGTGTGCTCTAAAAGGGAGATACTAAATCAAAGCTCAGGATGTTCTGCAGTCTTTATAGCACTACCAGTTATTGATACTACAAATTATGTTGTCTTCATTAGGATTTTGGCTTAGATCAACTCACTGAAATGAAAAGGCTTCTATATACCTGAGAATACCTGCTCCAGTATTTGGGATTAAATTGAGCCTCTTGTATCCTGCTGTACAGGTAGCACAAGCAGTGCCTAGGCCCTTCAGGAAGGTGGGAGATAAATGTGTGTCAAATAAACAGATAGATATATACTATTGTATATTTGTGTTTTGGCTAAGACGTGAGCAGGTGTGTGAGGCTTTGCTGTCTGTGCTCCCTCCAGTTTGCTATTCTGGTCCATCCCTGCCCCATTCAGTTCTGGGTGGTGGATTTGCCAGATACACATCTGCTCTCTAAAGTGACAAATATCAACAAAGAGATGCCAGCAATGTCTTACCAGGAAGGTACAGCAGATTTCACGTAGTTGTTCATGTCACCTGGAAGTTCCAGCAGTTCAGAGCCAGTCTGCATCGTCACTGTGCAGGGGAGGTGAACAGAATGGTAGTGATCTTGGAAGCACAGTTCCTGTGCTCTGTACTTACTAAAATC